TCGATTGTAATTTTCCGAATTTCTTCATTCCTTTATATCCTAACATCGTGCTTCCACGAGTTTCCTATGTTTTTTTTGAAGGAATAAGAGTCAACTCCAAACTGAAGTTGCAGACCACTCAGCTGCTAGGCCTCCTCAAACTCAAAAGTCAGTAATGGTCGCATCGCATATTCTTCCTTTACCTATTAATTATGCATCAAATTCTTCTTCACTGCCGTCATGATTTATTATTCTCCTACAGACGAAAAAGGCAATGCTGATTCTCCCCGTCAATTAGCACATTCAATTTGTTAAATAAACGGCTCCTCCATTCGATGGTCTTCTTTAAACAAAAAGAATAATTACAATAACAGACATGTTGACAAGAAGATAAAGACGAGGACGCCACTAACACTGCCCCCTCCTGCCCCATGCCATCTGCCTCCATTATAAAACACCCATCAACTTTTCTTCCATTAAACTTAATTCTGGTCGTGGTTAGCAGATGGACGACTCAGTTCAGGAACAGCTTGAAGCAGTTTCATCCAGAAAACTTGGCAAGTTCAAGGATAGAACTTGTAAAAGCAAGTTTGTTGGTGTCAGACAAAGGCCTTCTGGGAAATGGGTGGCAGAGATCAAAGACACAACACATGATATCAGAATGTGGTTGGGAACCTTCAAGACAGCGGAAGAGGCTGCCAGAGCCTACGATGAAGCTGCATGCCTCCTCCGCGGTGCCAACACTCGAACCAACTTTACATCCCATCTCAATTCTAAATCCATCCTCTCTTTGAAAATCAGAAACCTCCTGAACCAGAAGATCAGTTTGAAAAGAAGCTGCTCCGAAACCAACACAATCCAATCAGCCACCAAACTCGGTTCAAGTTGTGGCATTACTAGTGATATCACGAGCAACAGCTCTAAATTTGATGGTGCTTATACTGGGTTCTCCACTCCCACTAACCAAGAGATGCAGATGTTCGATAATGCAGATAGAGCAGACTGGAGCACCTGCATTGGAGAACTTGAGCTGGGTCTTTGTCAATCCAGCCATTCATGGTGGCATTTTCCTTTTGGGTTGAACTTGGATGAACCTCCATTGCTAACCCACCAAGGACTGGAACTACCCAGACAAGTGGCAGAGATGTCATGTGAGTCAGTGCAATTAGAACTGACATCGATGCCTCTGTGTGCATTGAATGGAGTGAGTGAATATTTAGGAAATGTATATGATGCTGCTGATACTGTGGGTCAGTTATTCTGCCCAAGTTGATGATTGCTTCATCACCGCTGTAATTCCCTCCTTTGTACTGATAATTGAATGCAGATACACCCAAGCAGCTGATAAGAGAGAAGAAATTCAAACAAATAACAGCCAATCAATATGGTCAACCATTGACTTCATTTTCCTTGTTCCACTTTGAACCCTCCAGAAGCAAACAAAGGAATATAACTCAAATGGTAGAGTGTTTGTTCTATCTTTCTATGAGAGCAAGGGAAGTAGTATAACTCAACGATAGAGTGTTGTCTGTCTTCACATGGTGAAAGAAATTAGTTCCAAGAATCTGATTATCCCTAAACTCAATAGAGACTAGAAATGTTATATAACCTAAATATAAATACTTTTTGACATGAAAAAAGAATATCAATTTTCTTTGTATTGTTAGGAGTTTATTATGATGCTTTTGGTTTAGAAAAATATCAGATGACGTTTTCATAGTAATGTCAAAATAATTCCATTCATCTTAAGTTAAAAGGACAAACATCAATTCTTATACCTTGGAAGACTGATATGTAGAGCTAACCAAGCAAAGGTTCATTAGTATTATTCCTTTTGCAACTTTTATCAACGTCGAGGGATGTTTAATTGGGATTTAAAGTTAGTGTACAGCACTGAAGTAAAATTGAAATGAAGAGAACTTGAATCAAGAAGAATAGGGGAAAGGACTGAAGATCTCTCAAGCTCAACAACCGTGGCCTGTGTGCGTCTTCTTCCTAGTGTTGCTTAAATCCAAGAACTTGAATCAAGACAAGCACGTTGTGTTGTCGTCGAGCAAGCCAACAAAGACAGCAAACATGTACAACTTGTGATACTATCCAATAATATGACCCCATCTCACCCATAAGTCAAGACAAGATAAAATTACAGTCAAAACACTGGCGTAAATATTCCTGATTTCAATTTCATACACAGAGCAAAGCCACGAAGATACATAATAGAAATTTACTACAAGACAAACAGAATTGCTCATAAAAAGGGTAAACGGCAGACACTTGTACTAGATAAATTATGAGGATAAAAGCACATATGCACACTTCAGTAATCTTCACCTTCCTCTTCATCATCCGCACCTTCAGCGCCAACTTCTTCATAGTCTTTCTCAAGAGCGGCCAGATCTTCACGGGCCTCTGAGAACTCCCCTTCTTCCATGCCCTCACCAACATACCAGTGCACAAATGCTCTCTTCGCATACATCAGGTCAAATTTATGGTCAATGCGAGAGAACACCTCAGCAACTGCTGTGTTGTTGCTGATCATGCAAACAGCTCGCTGCACCATGGCTAGATCGCCACCGGGTACAACTGTTGGAGGCTGGTAGTTTATACCACATTTGAAGCCAGTTGGACACCTGCAAAACAACCCCATTATCATGTTTTTCTCGAATCCAGAATATAATATTGTTAAAAGTACAGAGCACTTGCTGTGAAACCCTTGGGTTGTTCTTTCTTCTGAAAGGAAAACTACGAGCTTGTGAATGATTATTTCTAGTGTATAGTAATCTCTATTTTTCCGGTGTATAGTAAACCGAACTTTTACAAGTCACCCTCATCACAATTCTATAAATTAGTTCGTAAATATTACTAAACAAAACAGACTACCAAATAAGCCTTAACAAAACTGAGAGTAGTTCCCTAGGTGGACAAATGGATAAGCCACAGGACAATGAAACATAACATCTACCATGGTTGTCGACATATCTATGTTATGTTTTTTCCTAATTTCATAGGTAAGCTTTAAAACTTTACCAAAAAATATATATTTTTTCCACTTACCAGTCAACAAACTGCACGGTGCGCTTTGTTTTAATGGTGGCAACAGCAGCATTAACATCCTTGGGTACAACATCTCCTCTGTACATTAAGCAACAAGCCATGTATTTCCCATGTCTGGGGTCACATTTTGCCATCATGCTCGAAGGCTCAAAAACTGCATTTGTGATCTCAGGTACAGATAGCTGTTCATGGTAAGCCTTCTCTGCTGAGATAACCGGAGCATACGAGGAGAGCATGAAATGAATACGAGGATATGGTACAAGGTTTGTCTGGAACTCTGTTATGTCCACATTGATGGCTCCATCAAATCTTAATGAAGTGGTCAAGGATGAAATGATTTGAGATATCAATCTATTCAAGTTGGTATACGTAGGCCTGTCAATATCCAGAGATCTTCTACAAATGTCGTAGATAGCTTCATTGTCTAGAAGAACAGCAACATCCGTGTGCTCAAGAAGTGAATGAGTGGAAAGAACACTGTTGTACGGCTCTACGACAGCAGTTGAAACCTGCAATTGTATCGAAGTCCGATATTGTTCAGCCCCTCAACAGTTTCCTGATTATTCCAGAAGATTACATGTTTGGCCAATTGGGCACTTCTTCTGTTAATGATCAAATATTTGGGTTAATCTACACTTGAATTATCAGTACCTGAGGGGATGGGTAGATGGTGAAACCAAGCTTGGATTTCTTCCCGTAATCCACCGACAAGCGCTCTAACAACAACGAACCCAGACCAGAACCAGTACCACCACCAACAGCATTAAAGACTAAAAACCCTTGTAACCCAGTGCAGTTATCAGCCAATTTCCTGACTCGGTCAAGACAGAGATCTACAATTTCCTTTCCAACTGTAAAATAGCAAAAATACGTCAAACTGAGTTAACAAAAGAAAAAAAAATTGTCAATTAAGGATCCAATAAGCAACATCCATCACCTGTATAGTGTCCTCGAGCAAAATTATTGGCAGCATCTTCTTTTCCGGATATCAATTGCTCGGGATGAAAGAGTTGTCGGTAAGCTCCGGTTCTAACTTCATCAATCACAGTTGGTTCCAAATCAACAAATATAGCCCGAGGCACATGCTTGCCCGAACCGGTCTCGCTAAAGAACGTATTAAAAGCGTCGTGCGCAACACCTTCAGAGGTATCACTGGAAAAAGAAAGCAGAAGTTTCCATTTAATAGTCAATCAGCCCCACAAGGAGCAGAAGTTTGTAATGCAATTAATTTCGACTCCCAAAGAACGAAAAGAAAATTCTAAAAAGAATTACCGCCTACGATAAACTGTTTACATACATACATACAAGTCTTTTGCATAAGATACGTGGTATCAAATCAGTCATCGAATTGGCTTGGAACAATGTCCCTAAGAAAGTAAAAGTTGCAGATAGAAACTAGTCCATCAGTCCCTCTGAGCGATTGGACACGGATCCCGTGGTAGGGTGGCTGACGTTCAGATGCAATGCAGAGTGGCAGACAATATACCCAAATTCGATGGATAAAAGACGAAAAAAGTAGGCAGGAAAGAAGAATCCGGATGAAATGTAGAACGGTAGAGAAATGGGGATGGATAAAGCATTACCTGGGCATCATACCGTCGGGTTGGATGCCATGTTCGAGGCAATAGAGCTCCCAGCAAGAATTGCCGACTTGAATCCCAGCCTGTCCAATGTGGATGCTTATAATCTCCCTCATCTTCCCCTACGGCGGTGGTCGGAGTGGCGGAGCAGGATTGTACGAACGAGAATGAACGGCGATGTCGGAGGTGGTGAGGGTGACGGGATTTAAGCACAGGCTTTAATGGACAAACAAAACCATATTTGATAACCAATTCGCATCCGGATGGCGCGCCAGGCTTTCGATGGGTCCCTTCTCCTCCAATCTTCTTCTCCGTTTTGACAACTTTACCCTTCCCAACCATGGGCCGCGAATGGAAGGAAGCGAGGGCAGTTGTGGAAAAAGTCCATTAACAGGGGACCGGAGAGGAGTGACCATGTGATGTGTGTAGTGCAAGGGTGGTTTGGATATCAGATATTTTATTTTATTTTATTCTTTCTGCTCATATTTACGTTCCAATGGTTTAAATTATTTAATTTTTATTAAAATTTAGAGTGAATTATGTTAAGTGATGCAATTAAGATAAATATAATAGGTAGTTGGAGACTGGAGCGTGGAGGAGAAATAAAAAAGAAAAAACATATAAATATAGATGTAATGGGATTCACATGAGAGTATGCAATGCATGGGTATAGCTGTACTGAATGCTCTCTCACCTGCAGCATGAGTTGTAATATTGAAGGCTTTGGACCTCACTTTTTTCTTTTTCTAATTATTATTATTATTTTAGTTTGTTGGTTACTAATCCCAAACACACACACAATGCTGTCTTCCCTCCAATAATTTCATAGCAGAGCAGAAGGCAGAAAACTGTTCTTAGAGTTGGGAGTGGGCCCATCTGCAAGGAAAGGAATGGCACCTTCCACGTGTTCCCCTCCGCCTCCTCTTCAATACTATAAACTACAATTGGAAATCAACCAATTTTACACGCACAATTTCAATTAATTACACTTTATTAATTCAGTTGGTAACCCATCTTTATTTTCATTTGTTTCGAGGCATTTAGACTTTCATCCTTTTTCCCATTTGAAGAAAATATTTCTCTTGTCAAATCCAACACATTTTAGTGTTAGATTTAACAAATCTAAAAATATGTTTAGCCTATAATGGAAAAGTACTCACATTCTCTTTTTTTAGGAAAAAAGTTTATAAATTTTAAAATCTATACTCTCAGTTTGATTGGTGGGAATAAGATTTCTAAGTTAGGAACCAACCCATTCTCATTCATACTTTAATTCCTATAAATTTATTTGATTACATAATAATAATAATATATATATATTAAACAAAGAAACATGGTATTAAAAAAAACAATACTAATAAAAGTTACATCAGAAGGGTGGTGACAACGCATAATCATCACAATCCAAAAAAGAAAAACAATTGTCGAGAATCGATCATAAATAATCTACTTGGCTAATAAAGCAGCTTGCTTGTTTAAAGAACTAGGAATATAAACGAATTTTAGCCCCCTAAATAATTTCTCCAAAGTTGCAACCTCCTCGATTAATAGAGGTATCTTATCAATTATGGCTTCCCTATTCACAATTAAAAAAGAGATAATTGCTTCTAAAATTGCCTTATTCTCCACCATGACACATAAGAATGGATTTTAGGCAAATTCTTCAAATAATTATACTGGTCATGGATCTTAATAAAATTAAGATCGCATGTGGGTGCCCTCTCCAATTTTGTGTTTGATAACTCCTCAAAATACTTAGATGATGAAGCCACAGACCCTACATAATAGTGTTGTTTTTTTATTTTGCCAGCTGCAACAACACTATTAATATCCAACGGAGAGACTCGACACTCGACTACCGTTTGCCATCACACGCCTCCACAATAGTAAGAGAATTACCTAGTGTATTTCGATAAATGCTATTTTACTTCTTAGAAAAAAAAAGTAGAGAGTAACACCGTCCCAAAAAAAAAAAAAAAAAATTTGATGGGAGGACCAAGATAAAACACACCCCCTTCCCAGCTAGAGGAAGGAGAGGAGGTGAGCAGGCTGCAAGCCGCTGTCCCTTCCCACTTTTGGCTCTAACTCTTCTAAAAATACTCCAAATAGGAGAGCAAACCTCATGAACAATAAACGTCTCTGCTTTAATCTCCACATGCGGTTGAACTCAAAAAAAGAAAAAAAATGTAAACTAATTTATCGCTAAATAAAATAGTTTGTTTCTATGGGAATCGAAAAATGATCACATCTCTTTTTATATATGGAAATAATCTCTTTCCATGCTTGTCCAGTACAGGGAATTTTATTCTTCTTAAAAGAAAAATGAAAATAAAGAGGAAAATCTATATGGGAAGAGATTAATGGCAATGGATGGGGGGAAGGAAACGACGAAAATGGGTTGAGGCTCGTAAAGTTAAGATATAAAACTTCCGTCCTTAATTTTCCCGAGAATCACCACCTCCACTTCCACTTCCACTTCCGCTTCAACTCTCTTCCTCTTCCTCCATCTCATACTCTCTGCTCTCACCAATGGCGGACGACAAGAAGCCCAAGTCCGCCACCGTTTGGCCCACTGTCAAGCCCTTTGTTAACGGAGGTGCCTCTGGCATGCTCGCCACCTGCGTCATCCAACCGATTGATATGGTCAAGGTTCGACCACTTTCATTCTTCTTTCTTCAATTGGTGGTTCTAATGCTGTAATTGACATTTCTGCCTTCATGGGATTGTTTCCGCTCCTGCCTTGTTGCCTTTCGCTTAGGTGAGAATTCAATTGGGTCAAGGATCGGCTGGCCAGGTTACCAGAACCATGCTTAAGGAGGAGGGACTTGGTGCCTTTTACAAGGTTTGCATATTCAATTTCCTCAAAACTTTTAATTCTTTCCCTGTTTCTATGACTTGTTAATAATGTCATTCAACTATTACTATTACTATTGTTTCACTTATACTGCTTGCAGTTTGCATCGGCTGTTGGGTTGTTCTTTGCTCTGATTAATTCCTGATAGGAAATTGATGTTTCGAACTCTGTGCTTCATTCAATCTTTTCTTGAATAAGTATCTCATTACTGATTTAAATCATTCGGGAATGTCACTGTTTTCTGAAAATCGTTGATTTTTGTCGTGTTTTACTGAATTATCTTTTTGTAGAGACTACTTGTGTTATATCTTGAAGAGCCGCCACTAGAAGATTAAGTGGTTGTTCGACGTATTTTCATATCTTGTAAATTAGGATTTTGGCTAAAAGTTGAATTCACTATTGGGGCTCTGTTGTCCCATTTTCTTGCTTTGTTTAATCCTTCTGTTGAGATAGTGCTAGAGCCTTCTGGTGGAAACTTCATTTTGTAATTGAGATAGTTTCAGCCTGCCGTTGAGATAGTACTTAGGTTTGTGAATTATCTTGTCTAAACTTCATTTTCCAATCAGGGTTTATCTGCTGGATTGCTCAGACAAGCTACATATACTACAGCAAGGCTTGGATCTTTTAAGTGAGCGTGTTACAAATCTAGAATTTAACACCCTTTGGATTCATATTCATGCGGCTATGCTTTTACTTCCAACACTTGATCTTATTAATGTCAATATATATAGTTTTAGAAAAACTGCAATGAAAATTATACTTGTAGTCCCTACAGTTTAGGATGATTGCTTGGTTCCTGTAATTTAAAAAGTGACAATTTAGTTACTGGATGTCTTAAACTGGTTGTCAGTTGCCCCTCAAATTATTTTATCACTAGCTGGTCCCATGAAAAAAAATTACATACCAGTTATGAAAATTGTGTGCCATATCATATTGCAGATGACCATATAGGCTAGATTTATGTGAGACTTATCATCACAATACTAATATAGTCACCCTCTAAAACTACTGTAGTTAGATGGTCGCGTGTTGTATAATATAAAGACCAAATAGAATAATCTCCTGGATTATAGGGGCAAAAGGTGTAATTTTTTGGTTTTCTTATATGTGGTTAATCATATATTTATTTTTCTCCATTTCTTCCTTAGGATGTTGACAAATAAAGCAATTGAAGCGAATGAGGGAAAGCCGCTTCCACTGTATCAGAAGGCCTTATGTGGGCTCACAGCTGGTGCTATCGGAGCATCTGTTGGTAGTCCGGCAGACTTAGCTCTTATTCGGATGCAAGCAGATGCAACTTTACCAACTGCCCAGCGCCGAAATTATAAAAATGCCTTCCATGCACTATATCGCATTCTTGCGGACGAGGGAGTTTTGGCTCTGTGGAAAGGCGCTGGCCCCACTGTAGTGAGAGCAATGGCATTAAACATGGGAATGCTTGCCTCATATGATCAAAGTGTGGAGTTCTTCAAGGATAACCTTGGTTTTGGAGAAGCTGCTACGGTGTTGGGTAAGATTGTTTTTAAAATGCTATAAGCTGATGCCTAAGTGTGTGTTGGAGTTGAAATTTGGCGTTGTGTTGTGGATGCGGTTAGGTGCAAGTTCGGTATCAGGATTCTTTGCTTCAGCATGTAGTCTACCCTTTGATTATGTGAAGACTCAAATTCAGAAAATGCAACCCGATGCTGAGGGCAAATTTCCCTACTCTGGTTCCTTAGATTGTGCCATGAAGACTCTCAAGGCAGGAGGGCCACTCAAATTTTACACCGGATTTCCTGTGTATTGCGTCAGAATTGCCCCCCATGTCATGGTATATCACTCTCTCTTTCTCCCTTTCTCTGCGTTCGTGTTTGTTAGGAATACCCAAACAAATATAGAAGAATAATTAACTGAACCACTGCTGCAGATGACATGGATTTTCCTAAACCAGATTCAAAAGCTGGAAACTTCCTATGGGCTGTAAAGGACTGACCAAGTAAAGTTGATGGAGATCCCTTCCGAGTTGATTTCAGGCTTCAACAATAATTAATTTTTTTCTTCTTCTTTTGTTCTTTGGCCATGTTGTACTCTAACTTTCTTTTAATGCAGATTTCCAGACTTGAGTTTAAAAGCGTTTTAAGCTTGCCCTTCTGTGTGAATATGAATAGAGGTAGCAACAGGGTATACAATTGCTTCTGTAATTTGAATGCGCCAGATTCTTACCGGGAAAAACATGAATCATGAGATGTTTGAGAATAAAATATTTGAGACTGAAAGATAACTGTGAGAATGTTATTGGATTTTGATGGGAGTATATAGTATTATATGTTTGTTTGGTGAGATTATTCCTAAAAATTTCATCAATTAGTAATTATTAACTTCCAACTATTAATAAATAATAAATTTACAAAAAAAAAAAGAACTTTAAGTTTTTTTAGTACAATATTGGAGGTGGGGTTTGAATATATGATTTTTTGGTTAGTGATACATGCTTTAACTCGTTGGACTAGATTCAGATTAACTTTAATTAGTATATTAATTTGGGTAATATGATTGAATTAAATTATTTTATTAAATTAATTATAATTGTTTACATAAATTAATCTACTTTTACTTATTGTGACTAGTTAATACAAATTAACCAATTAATTTAAGTTTAATTAATAAAATAACTATAAGAATATTTTTTAACTAATTTTAATTAATTAATTATATTTATTAGATCATTTTAATTAATTAAAATATAATTAACAAACTAACCCTACAGTAATTTGTATAGAAAAATATTTGCTTCTCAAAGTGATTATGAAACTCTTGCCCCTTCCCGATTCCCACCTACAAAAACCCAGAAACCAAACCTACCATGAGAGTTTTTAAAACTATGCCTCCCACCAACTCCATTTTTATTTAGATATTTGAATGTGCCACTGTGGGTTTGAAATTTGCATGTTGAGGATGCTACCAAGTAATAATTCATCTGCAAATGTGAGTGGTTCATGTGTGACAGTTTAATGTTCCCTGTTACGTTACGTGGTGTTTATTAATTATTATTAGCCCAAGACAATAGACAATGATATTTGAAGATTTATAAGAAAGAATTTAGGTTGATTGAAAGAAATAATGAAATGGCATGATGACAGCAACAGAAGCAAATGGCACAGAGGCGGAGGGAGAAAAGAGGAGTTATTTAAATGGAAAGGGCAAAAGCAAGAGCAGAGAGAGAAGCAAATAAGGTGGGCAAAAAGAGAGAAGCATCAGAGGCTGGTGCAGGAGCCGGAGCCTCAGAGGGAGCGGCAGCTTGGGCAATGGTGCCGGCCAAGGCCAAGACCAGCAGGAGGAACAGCTTCAACTTCATTGCATCCATTGCCGTGAATTGAATGATCCTAGCGTCCGGCTGCAGAGCTGAGGCGACGAAGGCTGTGGGAGGGAGAGAGCGTATTTATTCAATTTACGATGCATTCCCATTTCCCACAGCTGGAGAACACACAGGAACAGGGTCAGGGACCTTACCATACGCTAAGCTACCTGTCTCTGAGTGTGGTCCCCGTGTTTTGCTCGTCCTTTTTCTTTCTTTCTTTTTTTCCCTTCTGTAAATATCATTTTCTTAAATCATTAACTATCATGTCATGTTACTCTTTACTGTTTGAGAAAATCCGTGGGTATGAATTCAGCATAAGCTTCAGTAGTTGGATAAGGATTAGGAACATACTCATAACCCCAACTAAATCTGGATCTAAATTGACTCAAACCTAACTCAAATTGATCCATTCTCTTCATTTTATCAACTAATCGGATTTCAATTTCTTCAATACATATTCAATGCCATTATCATTGTAGATGTCAAAACCTACCATCAATTATCCATTAACCAACATTGATGTGATATATGGTCGCGGAGGCCCATTTACAAGTTTATTTGAGAGAGATGCAGCGATACACCAAATTGCACAAATCACAAAGCGGAGAAACCAAAAAGAAACTAAAAAAAGTGGCTGTTTCTCGCTCTCTTTCCCATTTAATTTATGGGCCAAAAAATTAAACTTTTAGGAGATCGCATGAAATGGAGAGGAGAATCAAATTTTAAAAAAGTCGTCAACTTTCATGTTACTGCCTGAGAAGAGGAAGAGAGAAAGTGGTTCTTCTTACCTTGGCAAGGGAACAGAGAAAGCGGTGTTCAAAGAAAAGGAAGAGATTGAAAAATGAAGAAAGTGAGAGTTGGCAGAGGGGAATTTTTCATTTTTCAGTATGGGTAGATTAGATCCTAGCAAAGGTGGGTGGATGTCAAAAGGCAAACCACAGTGACCATTAAAACCTGAAGGTTCCATAGGATCAGAAACTAAAATCAGCCAACGATTTGAAAAAGCAAGTTGCAAGTGGGGGTTGGCCCAGCTTTAAGCTTCATGTGGGAGTTCACTTTCTAAAGGGTGGTCAGTGGTGGGGAACGCACAAACAATTGTCATGTGTCATCCCCACTCACTCACCTTTCCAATTTCAAAAGTTCCATCATCTCTTCAATCCTTTTCTTTTGAAAAAGGAAAAAGGGCTTTGTTGCACCAACAGGACCACACTTCATCAATTCATTAATCATCCCCTCTTAGAGAGGAGTAAACTACAAATAAAATACAGTGCAGCTTCACAAAGCCTTTGTTCCTTCCAACCTTTTTAACCAACTTTATCCCTTCCCAATTTCAACACCACTCAACAAAATTATAAAACAAAGACTCAAAACTTCACACTATAGGAAGCTCATATTTTACCATTTTACTCCAACCTCACAAGATTTAAAGGAGGTGTATACAAAGGAGAGGAAAGAGAATTGCACTAGCTTTTGAATGCATGTTACAGGCTGGAGAGAGAGAGAGAGAGAGAGTTACATTGAATTGAAGTAGTCCTCATGGGCAATTTTGGTTTCTGCCAGGGCCTCCATAGTAAAAGTAATGGCCCCAATCCCCATTGCTGCCAGTTTGGACATCATAGCAGTTGGATTTCTCTGTGAAAGTACCAATCCCTTTGGGAGCCTTGAGATTGTTGGAACTGTCAACAACCTGAATGTTCCTGAAATAGCTTGCCTTCCCAAACCCTTCTTCAGGAAAATGACCACTGCCCATCTGGGTTGAGGTGTGCAGGCCATCAGGCTCTGAATTCACAACCTCCCCTCCCCACTCAATCATGGAGGCACTGTCAGCCAGGTACGAGAATAAGAAAGAAGGCCAATATCCCAACACATAGTCATTGCCAAACTGCATCCACCAGTGTCCCTCATTTGGATCCTACACAAGTTCTCGTCGCAATCATCAACAACAAACAAATAAACAAACTACTCAATATTACTTTAACTGCTGAATTATGCGGGTTATATGTCAATTTATTTAGTTCTCCAGTCACCCCAGGTGGTTTCTTCATAAATCAAAAATTGTAATTGGGGAAATGACGAGAGAATCTTATGATCTGAACCGCCGGGATTTTTTTCCTGTTTCTGACCCCTTTCCCCTCAATTATATGCGTGGCTATTATTTTAACATCTAATGTGAAAACCCCATCTCAGCAGGACAATGTCCACAAAGGATCACATGCAGTTATCTTTACACAGTCAGTCTCTTTTGTCTTTTAGTATTTAACCTAATTGTTGATGTTCCAATTTTTCTTTTCTGTGTTGTCCAAGTGAGGTTTGGCATTTACCTTCCAGATAAGTATACTGATATCATACTGGGGACTGCGGAATGCAGACACAGGTGAGATGCTCGCCCCCATTGCTATTTCACTGTTAACTTGAATAAAGCCTGAGCAGAGGAGGTTATAACAACCTGTGGCTTGATATGCATCACTCTGAAAACACATTCATAGTTGTTAGAACGATATGGAACTGGAAGATAGACACTTAGAAATGACCATAGTTTTATCAGAGAGGCAAATGAATCTTACAGTCCAGTAAGTGAAAAGTCTAGTGTTGTTGTCGCCATATAGATCTGGGCTGACCTATTGTCATCGGCAACCAATTATGAGAACCAACAATGGGAGGAAAGAGAATAGGAAATGATTAGCTATTTTGAATCAATCCGTTCGTATGATACCTGCCAGCCAGCTTCAATACTATTTAGATCTTGACCAAAAGAACCTCCTAGTATCCATAACTGTGACAAGCTAAACTCATTAGGCTGTTGTATTTTGGGTTCCCATACGTTGATAGTTGCCTTTGCTCCATAGAACTTATCTCCTTCCACATAAGCTATTGCATGCTAGCAGCTCCGAAGGGAACAAAGTGATATCAGTATTAAAGTGTAAAGCTTAACGAAAAAAGATTGATGATATTTAAAAGGGAAAAGAATTACCTGATGACCACTTTGATTAATGAGATCAGGATCTGCAGACCTCGGTTGAGGAAGAGTTCTGTGCCTTTTCTTTCCATATCTTTTGGCAGAGCTTGCTCTCAGAACATCATCTTCCTTAGTTCTCCTAATAGGAATGGTGTTTTCTGGGCACCTTCCATTTGCATGCCACAGCTGAGTGATGGGGTTTGTTCTTTCTTTAGGTTTCTCAGACACCTTGTTCTCGTCAAATAGCCCTTCTGGGTGGTAAGTAGGCCTCGTCTGACAAACCGACAAGTGGTAAGGAACTTCAGGAAAGGTAGATGGAGAAATACTTCAAGTAGCTGAAAAAGGTGAGGAAAACAAACCTGAATTTTGTGATCTTTGAGGAAAGGATGATCAAAAGCTGGTTGATTAGAAATGTGGACACAGTCTATGATATCCCCATCTGGACTCTGCTTGAACATCACAAAGGGAACGTTAGAAAAATGAAAGGAAAAAAAAAAAACATAAGGACTACATCTTCGCTAGCGCTAGTCGTAATCAGATCGGAAGAACCAAGCCCGCAACGGATGCTATTCCTCGGTTAGAGATTGGAAGAGAAATATCAACAAGGGAAAACAGTAGGTGAAGTTTATTTTCCCAAAATCTAAGAAAATGCAAGTTGCAATAGTTGATCGATTGAAAAGGGGGCCATAAGCAACATACATTATTAAAAGAATGATACTCTCTTCACTTTCTCGCTCTCTTCCCAGACTTGAGAAAAGTAAAAAACTAAAACATCTTTTAGTGGGAGAAAGGAAAATTTAGAGAGAGAGAACCTGGATTGTCTTCAATGGGGGCTTGTTGAAGCGCCTGAGGTGCTTCTGAACCTCCAAGTTGTGCATGGAAGGGGATAATCGAGCGGCGCGGGACAGAGAGATGAGACCCCATAAACAGAAAACCAGTACCAAAGCCCTCCCGGCCGTTCCCCTGCCGCTGTGAGCAGGACCCATCTACTCTACTGGAATGGAAGCCGCCCCAATACGCAAAAAACCACTGATCCAAAGGGGAAAATTAGCTGAGAGTGAGAGGCGGTAGTGGGTAGTGGGTACACCCAAAACTACAACCTAAGTGGATGCAGGAGAGCGAGTCTGAAGCATGAAGGAGGCACTCCCCGCCCCGTCCCTGTTACCGTCGCTGTCACAAACCCTCAAAGCAACTGCCAAACCCAATAGCTTCACAAGTGGGACGGTTCTGGTTCGGCTTCCACGGAAACAAAAATCCAACACAAAATGACGACCCACCTACCAATACCAGCTCCCTCTCTTTCACACTCCGTTTTCTACGGTTACTCACCAAGCAAAATGCAAAGCAAAGCTACCCTCTCTCCCCCTTCCTCCCTAAAACTAAAACGGCTTTGTATGTTTTAAAAAGTTGCCATTCACTCACCACTCTGCTCTCTCTCTCTCTCTCGCAAATAAAAAGAACAAAAAGGAAAAGGGTGCCTGCTAAAAATCGCTTTTATATTATATTATCCTTTAATAGCTTGATTGACTGCACGATGACGAGATAGAGGAAGAGAGAGAGAGAGTGATGAAAGAGACTGAACCAAAGTTGCACAACATGGTGCGCAAAAAGGGTCTTTAATTTTATACACATCGCTTGTCGTTTCCATAATTTGTTGCTCGCTGTGGCCTTCCCACGGTCGCTCGTAATTTGCACCATTGCCATTTGCCATTGCCATTGCCATTGCCATTGCCATGCTTCTGAACTAAAACCAAATGGCTCTCTGTAGATTCTATAGTTATTTAATTGAGGTTTGTGAGTGGGAATATTATTAATTGAATCACAGCACAGACAGCAGAATCCTATGCGATGCCAAACTTGAAGCTCAAACCACAACCACTGAACAACAATGCAGTATTTTCTATTCTGTATTCTATTACAATATACGATGTTGCAATTGAATTGCATCTCACTTTTTCCCTCTATATTTTTTAATGCCACTTTCCAACACCAAAAGATTCCTTTTTTTTGTTCCCCATTCTGATTCCAATCACAGGAATTGCAGCTTCCCCCGTTTCATTCAAGCAAACTTTCTCAATCTGATGAATTTGAGAATCTTTTTTTATGGGTATTCTTTTAATTGTTTTCCAAACTATTTACCAATCAACTTTTTAAAATGCTACTTTAATTAATAGTTACCTAATTTATAACCTGCATGTAGAAGGACTCTTCCAACTTTCACTGATTAAAATTTACATTTTAATTCATTAAGGTTTGTCTTCATTCTTAATCATATACTTTTGTAACTGAGTTTATAATGACTTGTACTTTGCAGTATTATTAAAGTAGACCTTGAATTATAATTATCACCTTTTTTTTTTAAATTATTGTTGTTACGTCGTCAAGAGCTGTATTTTGATATTCAAACTTTTACTTCCCATTTATTGATGCTGCCCCCACCATACCATAAGAAAACTAACTTCCGTAATCGAAATATGGCAGTGAAATATATTTTCCTACCCTTGATTTATAAAGAATACATACCACCACGTGACCTTAAATATTCATATTTTTCTTCGAAACTTCGTGTTGCCACATTAAAACCAAAAAAAAAAACATATTTTAACATTATAATGAGAAATTGATGTTGCCCTTATCAAGATGAACATTATTAAAGAGATATTTGCAAAAGGTTTAGCTTTTAGAATTGCAGGCCATTAGCATTAAACTAGTGATTGATGCCATCCAAAATGCCACTCATTACTCACTTTACGGATTCCCTAATCTCGCCCTCCCATTTAAAGTTACTTTTTTGCCATTTAAAGCTGCCTCCTTTACCATATTGTTTTCATTTTTCAAAAGTCCCCAAAAATAAAATATTTGAACAGAAATGACTAATGATTTTACGAAGTTAGAAGTTGAAGTCTAAATTTTGTAGTCAAAGAATACCTTTCATAAGCATATATTTATATAACACGAGTTTATGTATAATGTAGGATTTAGAAATTCACACTCTAAAATAGACAAGTCTACTTCAAATTCCACATTAAGGCACACTGGCAATGTGTGTGGGTGAAAATGAAGAGATGACAGACCGTTCACGTAAATGAATGAAGAGTGGAGGGTGGACCATAGATGACAGGAAATTTCTGAGACGGAAATTATTGGGAGGTTGCAGTTAGAGAGAGGCCAAATGGTGGTGGGGAAGGGGACTTAAAATCGATCTGAATTTTTTTTTTTTTAATAATTTAGAATCGGAGCTTTGCTATCCTATACTCAAAGGCATCGGCACCCGCCTCAAGGCCCGGATTTTGAGAGACATCAAAAAATTTTATATGAAATTTACTAGTGATCAAAAGACAGATAAGAGATCAAAGATGAGAGTTTGGTATGTGGATCAAAACAGCTGCTTTCCAATCCCCCAAACCCAAACCTTATCTGCTCTCTCTCTCTACTTCGAGAATTAAACGCATCAAGACATACGCTATTGATTTTTTCTAACCATGATTGCACAAGGTGATCTTGGACTCAATAATTAGCATGTGGGTTGCCGTGATTGGTGCCTTTTTGACAAAAAATACAGCTTCCTCAGCCCACGCCCAATCAACTCCTTCCTTTAATTTCTCACTGATTGTTAGCATAAAAGTGACTATCTTCAAACACTTCTACTTGCATTCACACATTCATTCGCATTCCTTACAATCCATCTAACACTATCATTTTTCAAATCCACACAACAGTCGTGTCATGCTGACCGATGGAAAACTGATTTCATCGCGAGGCAACCCTTGAACATTTGGAGCACTAAAACCCGAGCAGGAATCTGAAAATGTTCCACAAAGAACGTCAATCTAATGTCAGCTGGCTGAAAGTGAAACACACATTTCTGGCACTCTACTTTCATATTTTCACTGTCACCTTCCCGGAGTAGGAGAAAACCATATGTACAAACTTGGCCACCCTGCTACTAATCCCTGGATACAACCCAAAAAAGGTAAGCAACCTGACGCCTTAATGTACTGTACACGATTGAATGAAACTTTTCAGAAACAGCAGATGTTGGAACTTGGAAGTGTGAGACACGCCGTCAACCACTGCATCCGAATTGGTGAAGACTCTCTTGGATACTTTTCTCACAATCACGTTCACACAAGACTTGCTGAGAAGTGAGAACTATACAAATGCCAGAATGGAACTGCAACTCCCCACTTTCATCCTTCATCATCCGTGAAAACACCATTAAATTTCATCCAAGGGTACACTTAATGTTTAAAAGATAGAACAAGATGCCAGAAAGTTATCAAACTCATGTTATAGCACAGCAAAGATATAAGGTAACATCACAATCATTTAGACAATAAAAATACTGACCCCTTATAACTGCTACATAAACATTAGGCCTTCGCATTTGCTAGACAAATGGCCCATCTTTTCATCTCTACGTTGAAATTATACTGGCCACTTTAGACTTAGATTTGCCTTTAAGTTTTACCCAAAATCCAACATACTTTCAGAAAGGTTGTCTTTAATAATAAAGAAGTGAGGATACTGTGAAACTTAACACATCCCTAACAGAATTGTTCCATGAAAGGATGAACAGGGAGACGAGGCGAATTTGGTTTCCCTTAGGGATACATGTGCCCACCACTTGTAGGTAAGAACAAGCTTTCCTAGCTGGTACTCTTATGATGCATACATAATGACAACCGCATTATTAACCTGGTTAGCAACATTAGAAATCTATCAATTCAACAATTGAAATCATCAAACAAAGCCAACACATCCTTCTAATATCCATCACTGTAACGCCCTAATGTAGAATTTAGTTGGTGAAGATAGAGAGAAAATGCATTTAAAAGAAATTTCAAAGATTTGACCTCGTTAATCATCCAAGTGGCTTTTTTCATACATGTATTATTCAAAACTAAATCCATGTCCTGCAAAGCTACTGTATTCCCCATTAGGCATCAAGTACCCTGAAACTCATGTTCTCATAACAGTAAATCCCTTGTAGCTTACAGACCGCAGAAATATCCAAGTCACATTTGATTATATGCACTAATTGTTATTCATCTTCTCATTAGATCCACGGAAAACCTACAGATACTTCGAGGTCCCTGGTGTAGAGGGTGGAAAAAACAATCCTAGATCTGATGGTTATGCTTCTTTTTGTTGAGATCTTGAAAGACCAAATACATGATCCAACTTGGATATACAAAGCAAGAAACTGATAGACAGAAAAATAAGAAGAAGGATTGGAAACAGAAAAAATGACAGTATAATAATTGATGAAAGAAAGGGTAGGCAACAAAAAATAAATAAAATAAAAATCCGAACAATTGATTTACAAATTGTATTTGTACGACAGGTAAAATACTCTCTGCTCTTTTCTGGACTCTGAACTCGGAACTCCTAATATCAAAAGATAACTCGTCTCTGTCATAATTGATTTTTAGATTTCATACACATTATAACATTGCTAAGATGTGAGTGCAAGCTATTTATGCTTATTTTAAAGGACACTGAAATTTTAAAGCGAACTCAGATCATCTTAATCATAGCATTGGAAGTATTTTACTAAATGAATTACATTTATCCTTGCCTAATAGCTCAAGCATTTGGGTGTAGTAGCATTGTAAAATGAAACCCCAAGTTCAAATCCCTCAATTGTTATTTCCTCCCTTTCTTCATATTAATTTTCTACGTTTTAGTCTTGATCTAGGGTGTATTTGGGAGTGATGGTAGAATGAATGATTTTAAAGAAAAAGATTTAAGTATAATTGATTTTCCAAAATCACCACCAAAGTGATACCTTAAAAAGTCAATTTGAAGTGATTTGAAATTTTCCTAAAATCAATTTTTTAATTTGCCAAACATGATCCATGAAAAGTTAAGTGATTTTGACAATGACAAAAGTGGTTTTGACTATGCCAAAATCACTCCAACACACCCCGATCTAACAACTTAAGCTTTTAGGTGCGATCTCAATTTAACACATTCTGAAATGGTGCGTGGGAGAGAGGGGGAATAAAAAAGTCTTTCCCTGACTGAATTCCTTCTCTCCTCCAATCACTTTGCCAAGAGAAAGTACAAAGTAACTACTGAAGCCATCCACGGGACAACTGACAATTCTTTGAAGAGTAGAAAAATGAAATTCATTAGCCAGTGAGTGAAAGGTACAACAGCATATCTGCCAATTCTTTGAAGAACATCGAGCAGATTTATGCTGTGACATTTATGATGAATCCCAAGACAAGCGTTAGTATAATTACTCTAAGCACATCCACAATCACGACCAATATCCAATAAAATTGAGCGGTAGCTGGAAAACCTCAAAGAACACAACAAATTGAAATGCAGTAGATATAACATGGAGCAGTTTCCTCAACCAAAAAAATCAGAGAAAACAACATTAACTTCAGAAGACACATAAGATGATGTTGGTTTAAGTCACTTCAGCGCAGTTGACGAACTAATAAACACGTCTTTCAATTCAAGTGATAGATGGTGTTGTCTTAACTACACGCTCGTAATCAGTTACTATCATACTCGAGAAACTCTGACACAAGGGCTAGAAAATTATTAGCCCATCCCATTAGGCCCGAAACTGGAATCTAAATATCTACCTACAAACAGTTATGATTAGTACTCAAATAGTTAATATCCTACAACTGGTATAGTCGTAGTCGAGAAATATGTAGAACTGCGGGTAAGATGGTGCAGGACTCTTGATTATCTCTCAAAAATGTCAAATCTGATACCACTAATCGAGGTTAGTAAATCAAGCACACAGCAGGGGGACAGATAAGTGTATTGAATTTTGATAAAGTAGAAGCTATCTCGAAGCTGTGCTCCGTCGTTCAGTTAGAAAAATCAATTGAAACAGCAAAAAGCAATTTTTCTAAAACGGAGCATACGTAATCGGGAAGAAAAAATGGAGACCCAGAAGCAGAAATTGACGATAATTGAAGAAAAGAGAAGAAAATTACCAGAGATAGAAGTCAATCGGAAGAAGAAACGTAAGAAAGGGAGAAGGAAGAGGCATCGGAGTCAGAGGAGTAGTAGTAATAGTAGAAGGAACCAGGGGGAGGGACGCAGAAGAAGGTCCAGAAAGACAGGGCGAGGCGAGAGAGTTGCTGAAGAGGGAAGCCGAAGAGAAGGTAGAGAAGTTGGTGGCTGGTGAGGCGATCTGGGAAGCAAGCAATGCATTGCGAAGCATCCGCCGATAAATGAGCGACCGATAACACGATCAAGCTGCTGAATACCATTGCTTTCTCTATGGCTGATTTGGGTCTGTGACTGTGTTGTTGTTTGAGAAATGCGTCCTCTCATCGCCTTCACCCCCCCTTTTGCTTTTGACCCATTTACCGCATTTTCTTTTCCTATTTCGGCGCCACTACAGATTCATCCTTTTATCTGTTCCAAATTTGGGTTTGAGAATACGTACAGTTTGTATGAATGACTTTGATCCGTTATTGTTGGATTGGATGGTGTCAAAAACCTCAAAGATGTGGGCTCGCACTCACCGGGACCCTTTTTGAAACGAATCGGAAAGTGAGTGTTCACCGTGGTACATGGATAGCCTCGCACAGTTGGGATCGCCCCAATGGCTCCATGAATTTTCGAGATTCATCTCAACCACGGTATATTATTTACTATATATCAGTCGACATTTCACGGCTCCGATAGATAAATCTATATTTTCATAATATTACAAAATAAAATAGATAAAATACAAAAAATTTCAACAAAATTTCATTTCATATCCGCTCAATAATTATATTAATCATATTTAACTTATTTAAAATTAGTGATACGATTGCTTGTTAGTTCAATTTATTTTTTCAAATTTGTTACTTTTATAAATTTTTCAAAAACATCCATCGATATCATATTTCCACGAAAACGAGACTTTGACATTTTTATTGACATTAATATTTAAAAGTTGATCTAAATCGAGATAAATGTCATTTTAATTGCAATTGCATGAATTTTTACCTAAAAATAATATTTTCACATTTTTTTTCCAACAATTAAGAAGAAAAAGACAAATAACAAAAGGGTTCAAAAGCAATTTTCAAAATTTCAATTGACGTATCAAACGGAAAAAACAAATTTATCCCGAACAACATGCAGTTTCCCTTTGCAACATAACATTTGCGTCGAGAAATCAACAAAATGTGTAACAAAATTTTTTTTGAGTTTCAAATTACGTTTAACTAAGAATTTACTTACCCTTTATAGATAGAATACATTACAAACTTAACAAATTTCTCATATGGAATATAGATCTAATAGAAATATAAACACGAAATCAAAAAAATTGCAAAAAAATGAAATATTGGGCAATTTTAATACAAATTGCCTATTGATTTTACAATTCAATCGACATCCTCAAACCCACCTCCCTTCAACAAACATGGCAGCTTTGAGGGAACATTCTTGGCGTTTTCAGGTGGCTCGTCCTTTTTTCACCTCAGCTGCCTGTTGATTGAACATTTGATTTTCACACAAACAAAGCACCCGAGCATCGGCGGACCCCACGGTAGAAGTAGAAGCACCAGAGCGATAG